GAAAAAAATTATATCGCGATACATATTGATATTGACTTATTGTCCAGCCCTATGTCTACGAAGTATATGTATGCAATGAATATAAAACATTCAGTATTAACGCCTGTATAGCTGATGTGCGCCAGCTGGTAAGCAAAGCACGCTGAGTGGATTGAGCGCGCTGCGGCGCAGATGCGCGAGCTTGTCGAGTGAATATCCCTTTCTCACACACATCACTGGAAAGTTTGCAGTTCGGTCGGCTGTGTCAAAAACAAGTAAGTAAAACAATGCACAAGTTACTTAATGGTAGGGAGGGAGGGAGAGAGAGCGCGCACTTCTGTTGTGTGATCGTTATTGATGTTCGCTCACTTAGCACGCATCATTTGGATTAAAACTAAATCGTAAATAAGACAATTTATAGAGGCATTCACTATAAACGTCATTTATTTCCACCTTTAAGCATACACGATTTTCTGGCGAAAGTGAAATTAATAAAAGCCTGTGTGAAATGCGCTAGGCTGTACTGTACTTGTCCCTCTCATTCTGCTCCAGTACAAATACGTGTGCACGTTGTGCGTGTTTTGCTTGCTTCAAGAGTGTTTCTGCATTATATGAGTGACTTTAGAAAATAAATCCCTGCACATTTCAGATGAAAAAAACGCGACTTCTATTTATGCAAATATCACAGTTAGGAGATTTATAGCGAGTGGTTCCCTGCATTTTTACAGCAAATCGCGTGATTACAGTACTGAGCCGCTGCAATGGAGCAGCTCTAATGCGATTCAATTACAGAACAATAATTCATGTACTAATTGAACATTTAATTTTAGGGCTGGGTTTTGACAAAATTTCACGATTCGATTCTCATTCACAAGCTTGCGATTCGATTCAATTACCAATTCGATTCGATTCAATATCGATTCATTTGGCTACATGTCAGGTAAAGTACATGCCAAATTTTCAAAGAAAAAAAATCTCTCAACTAATGCTGTAAAATATATATATGAGAGTTAGTTGGTAATACATTACTATAATATTGAAGGTTAAAATGTACTGACTTGTTAAAATTACATGAGGTTTTAAAATAATAAAACACCAATATTTAAAAAAATTACAAATGCAATAAAAATATCGGTACTCGGTATCGGCAAGTACCAAAAATAAAAGTATTGTATCGGGCGAGTACTGGGAAAAAGTGGTATCGGTGCATCCCTAATGCAAAGGGACTTAGAAAGGAAGCAAAATATACAGCGGTCTAGCTTCCTTTATGTAGCTGCACTTGAGATTTTGTCCAGTTCATATTTTTGGTGAAAAGTCATGAAACTCTTGATGGCGCAGGCTGATTGGCCACATCATTTGCTGCTTGGCACAAGCTGATTGGTCTGAAACCCTCCGCCTCCCCCAGCTCCACCTGTCTAGATGTGCTACCAGATTTATATATGCCTATTCATGCAGCAGCTGCAGCATATCTTACACTGCTCACAACAGCTTGTCTATGCATTTATTGGCAGTAGCAAGTCAAAACTTGCTCTGCAGCAACAGCAGCAGCATGTTCAGCAGATCTATTCCACCAAGACCAAATATATTAACATTGTAATATCAATCAAATCCGAGATTTGTTATAATTGAAATATGTGAATGGACTGCAGTTAGTCTGAATATCATATATATGTGTTAATCAGGTTTTGCTCTTGGTTGGGGTCCTACTCCTTGGCTGGTGATGTCTGAGATCTTTCCCACGCGAGTGAGGGGATTGGGCAGTGCTCTGTGTGTGCTCACCAACTGGACCTGTGCCTTCATTGTCACCAAGACCTTCCAGAACCTCATGGTGAGCTGACAGTCATGTATTTTCCACAGAAACATTCTAGGTTTAACAAACGGGTCTAATAAAGGATCAATAATGTTTCTTTTTAGGATGCCATAACCAGCGCAGGGACATTCTGGATGTTCTCAGGACTGTGTGCTCTCAATGTCATCTTCACTGCTATTTTTGTCCCTGAGACCAAAGGCAAAACTCTGGAGGAGATTCAAGCCCGTTTTAAGGGGACTCATCGGCACTAGACAAGTTTTCTCCTTAGTGCCAAGTTGCCAATACCAAAATTTGGAAAAAACAAACTAGTTGCAATGACATGTTAGAAGCATCTCATTATGTTTTAAAATAATGTAAAAGTTTACATATCAAATATGTGTGTTTGATACTTCCTTAATGCGATTTGTCATTGAATTAGCATACATAGCGGCTGATGTGATATATTTTCAAGCAGTCTTCAAGAATGTTTAATATGACTGTTATAGTTGATACTAAAAATAAGAGATGATGTAAAAAAGATAATAATTTGAACTTGTTTGCAGGTCATATAAAGGATGTTTTTGGAAAAAGGTCTGAATATAATGTGCATGAACAACTTCATTTGACACATGCAGAGTTTATATAAGCTTTATTAGTTTGCAGTTTCTCTGCAATTTCCTCTGCATCAAGACTGTAGCTTGGGTTACATTTTAATTAGAAGCTCAGCCGATCGCAAAAAGAATATTATAGGAAATGTTGAATTTAAAATGAATCTTGTCTTTATATTCTGATGGTACACTGTTATAAATGTAAACTAAGCTGTGTTTAATGAACTGCATTGGTGACTGCATACTTTTTTTTTTTTTTCTGACCTCACCTGCCATAACCTTGTTGTGTTTAACAAAGAAGTTCAACCAAATATGATAATACAAATGTATTTAACATACATGGTTAGTGAAGAACTCTATTGGCTTCGTTCAGAAAGTGAGCAAAATTAAACTGAAGTCTCAAAAGTGAAGTCGTATGTTGTTTTGATTGAATTGTGGAATTGAGTCAGTAAAGTATAATGCATTGTTCTGTAATAATGACAAGGATGATAAATTATGTGCCAAATGAAGTGATGTGCTAAATAAAAGTTTTTTTATTATTAAAAAAATATTTTTTTTCTGATGAATACAGATAAAATGAACAATCTAAATATTTGTCAAGTGACTATTATTTTTCCTAATAAATTACTTTGATTAAAATTGGTGCCATCTGTTACTAGATAATGGTTATAAATAACCAGTTGCTCTTTTTAATTTCAAATTCTCAATGGAAATGAATAATGGCATACTATGGCAGAAGTAATCTGCAAATGGTAAAATTAAGAGGAAAATGTGGGTCTATTGAGCTACAAAACAACTACAGTATGTAAAAGGCAGTAATGGCATGCTAGTTTGCAGAAAACAAATGGTAAAAAAAAAATTTTGATTAATAACATATTGCATATATTGTTGTCAAAAATTATCTTTTTAAGTGAGGGACAATATTTTCCCCCTCTAATTTCAGGGGCTCTTTTTTACCTTGGGCATAACCACACAAAAATGCACACTGTGCTGTCCATTTATGTAAAATACTAGTAGTAGCACAAACGTAGCTGTACTAGAAAAGCATAGAATGATTAAATATATATAATATACTGTATTATAACGGCATTTGCTTTTAAAAAAAGGATTTTGTTTAGGGTTTTTTAGGCAGTTATAGGACTACTCCATGCTATAGCCAGACCTCATTACGTGTACTGTGATGTTTTTCAGTAATGAACCATCATAGTTTATGTGGTCTCATTCCTAGAAGCTTCCAGCTATTGTTTGAAGTGATCAGTGTGTGTTAGCTTTTGAAGCATGTGCATAAAGTTAGTATGCACTGCCTGAGAAAGTGGCCCATCAGAGACTTATTATGAGGTCTCTTCAGAAGTATTCAGTCATTATACCATCTCTATTTAATTAAATTTTCAGGCATAAGTGTACACTGGAGTAATGGTGATTTTTGTAGACTGCTGTCGTAACATTTGTGTTGGGCCAGTTTAAGTCAAAGTCCAGGGTCATCTTACCCTCACAGTTTGTAGAGGAACATTTCAAGCAGAGTTGTTCAGAGTTGTTAAAAAGCATAATGTGGAAAGTGTCACATGTGAAATGTCTTTAACTATCTGTTTTTGTCTGTAATTATGCACTGGTGGAATGTCTGACAAATGTGTTTTGTAATCATCTTGACTCTCTGTGTATTATATAAATCTTCAGTAATTTTATGTCAAATTCTCTAACATACTAAAATTCGTTGCTGTTTTAAAAGTCTGTACTGCTGGTCTGCAGTTAACTGACGGTACACATGCATTGTGTGTTAGGGGCCGGGCTCCTGCCCTCCACAAACATTCCCTTGTTGTTGGCAAATATAAACCCAGCAGTTTCCCACCGCTTCTCTGATATGTCATTAGTTTTGCGTTCCTCACTTTTCCAAACAGCATAAGAGTTTGAACTTTCAGCATGACTCTGGCATTAGCACTTTTGCTTTGTATGTTTTTGGGGACACATGGTTTCAACACACAGCTTGTTATTGAACCTCAGCCCAACTTTGATACGGAGAAAGTGAGTATGAGTTTTCAGTTGTTTGGGTTGTGCTTTTGTAGATTTTAGGGGTAAGTAGTTTAAGCATTGAATGCATGTTTTTCATTTAATAGCAGAGGCATTCCAAGTGAATCTGTTTGTTTATATAGCATTTGTTCAAAAGTTCAAATTCAAAAGCAAACAGTGAAGAGGCGGATATCAGTGTCACATATCACAATAGTTTACTTAAAGAACGGATCATGGTTCATCAGCTTTTATTTCTGTACAAGAATGAGAATCAAAGTTTTTGACGTATATATTGAACAGATCTTAAAATTATTCATAATTCCTGCTTTAATTGGTAATATGAGTTAGCTGTTTTCACAGAAAGAACAAAGCTTCTCTATTTGCCACATTACATTTTGTTAGAAAATCTGCTATCTAGTAATAGACAATAATAGAATGTTATAGAGTAAATTCAGTAACACTTTACAATAAGGTTTCATTTGTTAACATTACTTAATGCATTAGCTAACATTGCCTAACAATGAACAATACATTTGTTACAGTATTTATAAATTAAATAGTTCATGGTTAATGTTAGCTCAGGTCCATTCAGTAATATTAACAGACACTATGTTTGATTTTAATGATGTATTCGTAAATATTGAAATTAATATTATTAATAAATGATTTAGATTTTTTTTTTCATTGTTAGGTCATGTTATCTAATGTAGTTAACTAATGTTAACAAATGAGAAGTAATAGACAATAATAGAATGTTATAGAGTAAATTCAGTAACACTTTACAATAAGGTTTCATTTGTTAACATTACTTAATGCATTAGCTAACATTGCCTAACAATGAACAATACATTTGTTACAGTATTTATAAATTAAATAGTTCATGGTTAATGTTAGCTCAGGTCCATTCAGTAATATTAACAGACACTATGTTTGATTTTAATGATGTATTCGTAAATATTGAAATTAATATTATTAATAAATGATTTAGATTTTTTTTTCATTGTTAGGTCATGTTATCTAATGTAGTTAACTAATGTTAACAAATGAGCGATTGTTGTGAAATGACTGCAAATTCTTTTTCAGACACTGCATTTTATTTTATTTTTGTCAATAACAGTAATTATCTAGGCTATATAACCAACACCTGGTACTACAGAACCCTTGGGGCCTTTAGTAAACTGCAAACCATCTTTACTTACATTTACTGTCAGTTTGCAGGTGAATGGTACCGGATTGGACTTGCAGATGAGTCACTGTTGTTTGCAATGTTCAAAAACCAGCTGAAGGTTTCTAAAGGCCTTCTTCTACCAGATGCCATGGGAAATGTGAATCTGACCATGTGGACCATGAGGTGCACAATTTTGGATAGGATGTTGATCCATATTTATATTATCACACCATCTCGAATAACAAAGGGAAAACATATTGTGATGGGAAAATACATTTAACCAAAATATTTGAGCTCTGCGCTAACAATCTGTATATACTTGAACTAACAGACCATATGGATGCTCCATCAGTGTTTATTCATATGAGAAGACAGATGTTCCTGGAGAATTCACTTACTTCAGCAAACGTAAGCTCTTATTTCCTCTCTCAAACATCTTTCTTATCACATGATGTTATTATTCACACTCAGAACTGTGTGAAATGTGAGATCTGACATCAGCAACTGTCAAAAACTTTCAAATACATTTAAGTCCATTGCACTCTTTCATCAGACCAATGAAAAATGAGAGATTACTTCTCAATTATTATATACAGAATATTGAGCAGAATATAGTGCAAAATTGAACTGAATAAAATGAAACTGAATTCACTTACACTGAAACCTGTGATTGTTACCTTAAACTATTTCTACCTGATCTAATCCATAATAAATAGTTTTGTTGGCATGCATTAATGTATTTAGATTAAATTCAGAGATATTAAATAATATTTTGTTATTACCATTTTTAGGTTTCCATTTCCTGTGCAGGTTTAAGCCTCTTTATACTTTATCAAATGTATTTACTTCAATTTTATAAGCACATTTTATGTCAGGTATACAAACATAAAAAGATCAAATCAATCCCTTAACTTTAAATTAATAAAAAGATACGTCTGACTTTTTGTCATTTTAAGGGCACAAGATAACAAAAGACATCACAATAGTGGAGACCAATTACACTGATTATAGTTTGGTCCTTAAATACAAGAACATGGACAAAGAATACACTCAAATAGCTCTTTACGGTAAGTCTACACCGATAAATTGTATCACGTGTCTTTGACATTAATGAAGCATACTAATTTGTCAGTAACATTGCTCCTAGGACGGTCATCCATACTAAGGCCAGATCTAATACAGATATTCAGATCTTTTGCTTTATCTCTGGGCTTTTCTGAGGAGGCCATCGTCACTCCAACAGATGTCGGTAAGTTTTCATATGACATAACGAACATAAACTGTTTATGTCAGACTGCCACACTGCAAAAGAGCAGGAAAAAGCTGCACTGATGCTACTGTTGAATGTTTATGTGACCTTAAATAGGTCCTCTAAAGTTTGCTGAATAAACAAAACACCATGCACACACAGAACAAGCATGTCACTCTTAAAGGAATAGTTCACCCCAAAATGAAAACTTGCTGAAAACGTACTCACCCTCAGACCATCCAAGATGTAGATGAGTTTGTTTCTTCATCATAACAGATTTGGAGAAATTCTGAGATTTCTGAGATCGATGTATTTGTAATTTTATAATTACTTCTATTTTCTTTGAAATATGTGACCCTGGACCACAAAACCAGTCATAAGGGTAAATTTTTTGGCCGAGATACAACTATTTGAAAATCTGGAATCTGACTGTGCAAAAATATCCAAATACTGAGAAAATCGCCTTTAAAGTTTTCCAAATGAAGTTCTTAGCAATGCATATTACTAATCAAAAATTACGTTTTGATATATTTACGGTAGGAAATTTACAAAGTATCTTCATGGAACATGATCTTTAATTAATATCCTAATGATTTTTGGCATAAAAGAAAAATCAATAATTTTGACCCATACAATGTTTTTTTGGCTATTGCTAAAAATACCCAAGCGAATTAAGACTGGTTTTGTGCTCCAGGGTCACAATTTAGTATTACTTGCTGAGTGCCATCAGAATGCAGAACACACAGCTTTTCACTTCACAAGATGCTAATTGATGGACTGGAGTAGATGTGGTTTATTGTGATGTTTTGATCAGCTGTTTGGACTCTCATTCTGACGGCACCCATTCACTGCAGATGATCCATTGGTGAGCAAGAGATGTAATGTTAAATTTCTTAAAATATGTTCAGATGAAGAAACAACCTCACCTATATCTTTGATGACTTGAAGTTGAGTAAATTTTCATTTTGGGGTGAACCATTCCTTTAATAGGGATGATTCTTAGTTGTTGATTTACATGTTTACTTTATACAATCATACATAAATGAACAGATTTTTCATGCATTTGTTATTTTTTTATGTTTTTTAGATCCCTGCCCTATCTTAGAACCAAGGTATGGATTTACCACTTCATCATATGAGAGGCTGGGGTTAGTTGTCTGTATGGCAATAATTTAACCGTTCCACCATTATTACCTAAGACATAACATACAAGTAATTTATGGTTAGGCATGGTAGAGGGGTAAGTAACCTGTGTATTTATTAGTGACAGAGAATTTACAGTAAATCCTACGATTACATCCTTTAACCAGTAGGTGGCGACCGTCTATATGAGTGAGTCAGTGAATCAAACGATTCCTTAAAAAAATACGATTCATTCAGGAAAGAAACACTTTTCGACTTGCTCGGAGACAAAATGGTTGATCCCGATGTGGATTTGTTAGAAAGTTGGAACTGTTCTCATTGACCGAGTAAAAAATTGAAAGTATCCAGTAGTATTTTGTCTAACATGTAAGTTACTCAATATTAACTTTAGCGTTTTAAACCAACATGCAAAACTCCAAAAAATAAACTAATACACGTGTTTTCTAGTTATAGCAGAAAATCACTATTAGTTATAGCCCTTGTGACAACTAGCACCAGTCTCTCCATTGCTGAAATACATGGGCCTATGTGACGTTGTTGTAAAAGCCATAAAAAAGCCTTGTTTTATCAAATCTAAAGTATACACCACTGTTCACTCACCTGCAGGAATACAGCAGAATTCAGAGAGGATAAATCTGCACAATCTCCTAATCAATCAGTCTTTGGCACTGAGAATCTTTCCAAAGTGTGAGTGGACAGGATGTTTTTAATCGGTAACTCACTTTATATCTAACTGTATACTTTCACCATCTTTCAGCCAGCTGTGGATTCAGACCTTGGGTTACATATATTCTGTTTTGTTAAACATTTGGGGAAGAGTGTTTGTTTTAACGCAAACAATCATTGGAGAAATGCAACACTATAACGCATCGTCAATGTAACGCAGTTTGTGCTACACTCATAAAGCCAGCAAGTGGAGCTGTTGTAAAAGGACACAATCAGCCAGCATCACTGTTGACCTCTGCTAATCTAGTGGTCCACCTGACACAGAGTGCTACTAATAATGTACCACGTGTATTACTGTGGTTGCTTGCCTAATGTTTACAGAACAATTGTGGCAAATCTTTGTGAGCATTTTACAGCCACTGAATTTTCTAAATGAGTAATAAAATGTTTTTGTGCAATTAAACAAAGCATATAGGCTTATTTTTAAAGCTTGTGTTTTTTTCTATTCTAATATGATTTAAAATGTTATTTATTCCTGTGATGACGAATCTGAATTCAGCATCATTACTCCAGTCTTCAGTGTCACGTGATCCTTCAGATATCATTCTAATATGCTGATTTCCTGCTCAAGTATCATTTCTTATTATTATCAATGTTAAAAACACTGCTGCTTAATATTTTTGTGGAAACAGCGATACATTTTTTCAGGGTTATATGATGTGTAAATAAAATGTAAAAATATGGGTAAAATAATATTGTTCCATCATCAATCAGTGTTATAGCTATATTTTTGTAAAAATGAAACAACATACGTATTCTGACATATACTTATTAAAATATATAAAAGCATAAGCATACTAAATTTTATTATATTTTAAATGATTTAAAACGTCTTGCTGACAAATGGGTAAAAACGAGTGGTTTGAAGGATAGTGGCAAAGATTGGTAAAGATTTAGAGTGACAATTAATTAGTATTTTGGGCCTGGACTGCATCCTTTAACAGAATCATTCAATGTCATAATGATTCTTGTTCTAAATATGCCTGACGAGATGTTTATGGTAGATTTTTTGTATGTTTTTTGCTTCGAAATTAAATGAATAAATATATAAATAAATAAATAAACATGACGCGTTTTACAAAAATAAATAAATAAATAAATACAGCTGTATTAACTTTTTGTTGTTTTGATGCTTGAAACCCCCATTTAGTCTTTGACCCATATATATGCCACCAAATTAGATAAACATGCACCTGCAAAATTAAACAAAATCTATTACGTCTGTGGTGAATCAAATTAAAAATGAAATTAAAAGTGTCGATGGCATTAAATGTTGATCTGCTCATGTTGCATCGTTTCTCTTTACGCGTTTTTGGAGTGTTGCGCATTATAACCAATGACACACGATTCTGTTGAGATTTTGAATGCAATGGCCAATCAGAGGCGTTCTGATGAGTCATCGCTGAAACACTGGAGTTTCGTTCAGTGCGCGCGCTCACTGACTGAATCCTGAACTCTCGTGAATTCTCTCATCATAAACGAGTGAGTACGTACAATGTATGTAAGAGATTCATTTTACAGTGTAGACAGATTGCTTGATAATAACAGGAGTTTTTTTTTGAGAGTGCTTAATCTCACACAGAAAAAGAACTTAAAGTGTGCGAGACGTGAATTTAAATAGTATTTATTTACAGAGGTATATTATGTCACACTTCTCTAGTAAGTTTCGTCTGTGTGTGAAGACGCTACGCAGCGCAAATCCGTGAATGAATGTTCCAAAGTGAATTAAACCTCAACAGTTCCCTTTCATGGGAACTTCGAACTGCGTCCTCTAGGGGTCGCTATGGGGAACGCCTCGTCGTGACCCGTGTCTGAAGCATACATTGAAAAAACACCAACTCGTTGGCCGGCGACAGCCATGACGTCACTACCGGTGCGACTATAGTATAAATAGGCGCCGGGAGCTACACATTCTCTTCTTCGTCTTCACTGACTGTTCTGTTTGAAGCGTGCATTTCCAAGGAAAAAGTAAGAGCTATCTCTATTTATTATGGCGAGCACTAGCAGAGCATTTAGAAGGTGTGTGCATCCGTGTCATCGCTATTTGACACCAGATGACACACACGATCTATGTGTTGTTTGTCTGGGTTGAAGAGCACGCACGCGATGTCCTGGAGGGGGCAATCTGCGCGCATTGCAAGTTTTTTCCAATGAAAAAGCTCCGTTCTCGTTTGTCTCTCTTTTCAACTAAAGAGGGGCAGCCATCTGCTTCCCGCAGTTCAGGACCCTCCGCTGCTGAGGCACGGAGGAGAATGAGCTCGTGGGGATCTCAGGTGGACCTGGCCGATGAGTTTAGAGAGGGGCTTTCCTTCTCGCGCTCATCGGCGGGGGGCGAGAGACAGCCACTGGAGGATGATGTTCTCTCTTTAACATCATCTGATCCAGGGGCCAGTGCTCTGCTGGGTCCAGCCCAGGAAGAGCAGGAAATGGATGAAGAGAGCGAAGAAGCTGAGGCTGAGCCTTCTCAAGCCTCCTGCCCTGCGTATGATGAGCTTTTGGAAATTATGGAT